CTGGGATTCGCGCACTGAAGATGAGCGAAGACTGGAGGTTTTTCACCGCCGCTGCCTGCGGACTATCCTACGAGTTAAGTATACCGACCTCATCTCGAATGAGACAGTCCCCACTCGCTGCGATCGTATCGCGAGGATATCTCAGGCCATTCAAGAAAGGTGACTGAGGTGGTTTTTGCACGTTCTTTGTCGTCCACCCCATTAGCGTTGCTTTGCTGCTCTCGATCCGGCGCCGCAGACCATCTGGAGGCATCGAGAAGAAGGACAACTGAAGACTTGGTTCGATACTATCCGTCCAGACATGGAAACAATTCTTGGATCTTCTGTCTTCGGTCGCCGTCTCTGGAAAAGAGACTGGATGGAGCTTTCTGACATGCCTAGGACAGTCTTGACTTGGTCTAACCGCATTCCACGCTGTACTGTGGAATTAAAAGGAAGGACGGCGAACACTGCACTTTTGCGTATCTAACGTACAATTTCCGGCCGCCATGGCATTCACGAATGGTGTGCACCTAAGCACATCCAAAGTCAGCGTCCCGTTTATCGTCGCTGCTGTTGCATTTCACTCGTAAACTTTCAGCTTAACTTGTTTTATCCATGCTAGCGGAATCTGTAAAAGTTCGCCATAGCTACATCCGGTATTTTATGCGCACGTAAACTGGGCTGAGGACTGATTGCCGAAAATATTTTTTGATGCAATCTGCCTAAGCACCGTCAGCAGGGTGACTGACGTAGTCTGGCAAGTTGTTTGTTCTTCTGCTTCCTCACAATAAGACTTTGGATACAGAATTCGGAATTTTAAATAAAATTGTGCAGTTAACCCTTGTTTGCGGGTTCATAAGATGCGTTAGGCTGATGAGTTTACTCGGTTCTTCACATTGCCATTCTGCTGTGCTGGAGTGTCAACTTTCCAAATCCGCGCTTTTCGTATTTATGCAATCTTCCTTACGAGTCTTTGAACTTTCTGTTTGTTTCTACATGCAGTCATGGTCATTTATGTATAATTATTTTAACAGTTGATCAAACTTTTTCACTTTATTTCCCCCTCCTAGCGGTTGCTCTCATTAAGATGACAGCCGTAGTCTGCTACTTCACCTCAAGATCAACTTCCGAAATATTGTCTCTTTTTGGTATATAGGACGGCCCTTTGCTACATGGCTGCGCGTCCACCATGTCAGGATTCGTTTCGGCCATACTGGGTACTCCGGCAGATTTAATAAAAACCCGAATGATGAATCAGCGTCTAATGACCCACTCCGGTACTACATTGCCGCCTCTTTACTCGGGCATGATTGATTGTGCAGTAAAAGTTGTAAAACAAGAGGGCTTTCTCACTCTCTACCGAGGGTTCTTTCTCATTTGGGGTCGAATGGTAAGCGTGATTATTTTGTCTGACTTTACCATATCTACTGACGTCGGGCAAGTAATATTAATATCCGGTGTGTGCATTATCTCTTTTTTAGGCGCCCTGGTCCCTAACATTCTGGCTGACCTACGAGAAACTACGGGAGTATACGGGAGCTGGCGGTTTCTGATGTTCTTATTTTGATATACGCTCGCTAAGCTGGCGCCCCCTCGCCAAGACGATTTCAGTCTAGCTTTAAAGAGAGTTCATCTAGTAGATTATTTTACTATTTTTTTCTGACCCCTGTTATCTCTCCAATACCTTTTCTGATTTAGGATGTTATCGCTGTCACAATATTTGTTTTCATGACAGCGTTCAACCAATCCTGTCGGACATTCTTCCCTCCATTTCCTTAGCTCTTTCAAAGACGACCTGTTAGACATTACTTGTATGTACAGCTGTTGATTTTTACGCCCATTTTGAAATTTTGTATACTGAATGATTTCATAAGCAAACTTTCAAGGGGCCGGTTATTTTTTGTGTGCTTTTCAAGTACCTCCAGAAATAACTATTGCTAAATGATGCGTGAGTTTGTCATTCTAGTGAAACGGCACATCCAGGTGCCTAGCGTATTGCGAACGGATGCCTCCCCTCCTCTTAACACCATTGATCGGCAGTAGCTTTGTCCGCTGTCAAAAATTTACAGCATCTTCGAAGCTGCATAAAGCAGTAGTTCTCTAGAGTGTCGATCGTGACAACCGCATTACGGAATTTCGCACCAGTTAAGTCCAGCTATCGGTCCTGCACGTTCATCAACGAAAATTAACGGAGAGCGGGTGTTGTTTTAACTTCATAGCCATATGACTTGGTAAGCGCCATGATAATTAGAGCTCTCTATATGTCATGCCTGGATGCTCCATTCTTTCTGAATGGTGAACTTACCAATACCGTTCTTGTGCTGCATCAAGAAGTAGTTCTGCGAAAATTCTCATTTTGGCAAACAATTGTTTTTGGTCATCCATCGTCAGCCCGATACATGGACAAGGAGAATAAAACAGCCAGTTATGTACGAGGTTTATCGCAAATTCTCCTCTCGTACGGATGAGAGGTAAAAACCGACTACCGTTACAGGTTACACCCATGTGCATTTATTCATTCTGTGGAACGGGGTATATTGGCCGAACAGCGAGACGTCCGCAGGAAAGGATACACGAATATATACCGGCCTGGCTGGAAAAATTAGAAAAATTGATGAATTTTAAGCTCAATAATTACACGCCTAATCGATACGAACCACCAAGTTGAAGCGAGAGAGGCCTTTCGGGTTATGTACCAGACACTAACACACAACTCTCAAGGCTTACGTAAGCGGGTGCTAGCCACAGCCGAGGCGGTTGGCGACCCTTATAGCAAAACTCGCTCTCTGTTGTTGAAAGTCCTTGGTACAGGCGATTTGTCTCCCTTGGCTGACTGCAAGCGTGAATCGCGCGCGGCCCAACGCCATATAGAACAGTCAAGATCACGCCACATGTCTAACATACAGATCTCAAACAGCCCACGGTGCGAACGTCTTCTCTCCCCTGTGGTTTGCACCTTAACTTCTTCAACACACTAACTCTGGCATGCACGAGACGAGGGAATGAAGAGACTTCCATCCACACCACGAGCATCATATAAGCACTGTAACTGACTCATTCTCAATGGTAATTTATCAGCCTGACGATTAATAACCGAAAACGATTATTGAAATGCTTTGTTTAGAATTATTTTGCGACAGTAAGGCCTCTAGAAGTTATACCTCGTACGCATCCATTACCGAGGACAGGCCGAATGTAATGGTTATGCCTAGCTTATTTATTGCCATCAGTCAGACATTCAAAACTAACGAGGTGATTATATTCAGTTTGGTTTCGAGTGCAGATGTAGGAATTGCATTTTAAAACAGTGGTTCCCTTTCTGAAGGATATTGTAATTGGTAGTGAACAAAATCGGCTGATGACTAACAATGGATAATGCAGGATTGTTTTCCGTATGTCAGCCCTCTGGCCAGCAGTCCTGATAACAATGGAACTAGCGCTGCGCTAGGTCCACGTGTCTCTGAATGGTCCTTCGGTAGTATAGGCCCATTTTCATGCCCGACATTGGGCGGTCACATAAGTACGCATCGAGAGTGTGCGCCCGTACAGCATGCTTTTCTTGCTGCAGTGACCCGCCCCCCCTCGTCTCCAAGTCGCGGCGTGGGAGCACGAACTAATCAGTTAGGTCGATCTCCCGTTCACGCGCCCGCATGCGCGCGTACGCCTAGGACTTTTTTGGGGAGTAGGGGGTTTTAACCTCGGCCAATCACCGTACGGAATACCGCCCAGCGCAGCATAGAGACCAAATAAATTAGGGCAATGCTATCAGGGAGGTCGCGCGTTTGAGCCTAGGGTGCCGAAATACCTCGGATTAGACCTGGCTAGCTAATGACGGCTAATAAACTAGAACTGGCCATTGCAGTTTCCCTTATCTTTGTCGGTTGTATTATTCTGCATCCGTCATTAGCGTCTGCTGGTGAGGGAGAGACCCAAGGCACGGCGGGACGCGTGTATCCTGTAACCGCCTATCTACCAGTAGTAGGCCCCGTATTTTCGTTTATGCACATGTTTTATTTCGAATGTAACCCGACAACTCGTAAGTCGCCCTGTACTCTAACTTTAAACGTGATCTGGACGGATTCACCAACTGGGGATAATTCCTTGTGAAAACCAGGACAGCTCAATGGAATTCGAGCCAACAACAGCAATCGGTTGCCTCAAATACAGCCTGTTAGTCGTTTGATGGATTAAGGAATCCTTTTCTGACAGTCAGCTGACCGCATCCGAATTGGTGGATTCCATAAAGTGTAGTCGGCCGGGTGGGTAACTTGAAAAAAGTGTGATTTAACTCACGACTCTCCGTAGAACCTCGGAGTTTAGGTGCGTAGCTTAGTAAGGACCCAGCCGAATCGGAGAGCGGATTAGCTAGAGTTTTGTTGTCCACGCTATATGCATGCGACTGTTGTATACTTTTACTGCTTTAACACCATCGTATCGCTCGTGCTGTCCCAAAGGTCCTTTCGAGGGCGCCGTGCAAACCCACGTGCATTTGTCCGGCACAGACCTACGATGACCGATTGGTGGGGGGAGGGCGGTCGGTAAGTTTCGCCTAACTCTGATGCAGCTGCGCGGTGTTCCGTTAATCAGTGGGCTCCCATTATTCCTCATAGGTTTACTGTTATCTCAACGCCAGTTTTTATCCTGCCTTTTTGAATTAATTATTTCGTGAACTTGGGTTAAATGGCACATAGCGTTTTAGGCCCGGTCCAAAAGGTTTTCGCTGAGTTCACGCAGAATTTTAACAAAACAACAGTGCGATTTTCAAAATCCCAGGTAAATACATTTTGTTTTCTTGTGTGTGTTATAGTTTAAAAGTTATTTTGCCTTAACAGTAGTATATTGTCTCTTATTCCGCAAAATGCAATCCAAATATTCTGTGTCTTGAAAAGAAAATCCCCTCCTTATAAGATACAAATCCAGTTGGATAAGCATCAATACCCTCCCTGCCTACCGCTCCTAGATATTGACATAAGAAATTATACACTATGGTGAGTGCTTCATGCAAAATGCCTAAGATTGTTAAAGCTTGATCATTACTCGAATACCGGCATGAACGCATTTACGAAAACTTAGAACTAATAATGAGCAGCATTAGGCATATTAAGTGCTTAAAAGAACAGTAAAAAGCACTAAGTGCTTGTGAAGAAAAATAAAATTTTCCCGATAATCTCCGAGATCCAGAGGCGTAAAGAATCACTATAAATTACAACAATAAATTTGTATCTTTTCGTAACTTGTAAACGGAACGTAAACAATTTCTCTATATAAAAAGAAATTTTCTTTATTCAAAATATTTTATGCATATTACCATTAGTGGGTAGCTCTTTATTGAATATCGTTCAATACAGTCTGGCATAATTTCCATCGTTTTAAGTGTCTTCATGCGCTAATTAATTAATTGCGCCTCTGTTCGACGTTTACCTCAAAACCTTTAGAATAAGATATACATAAAGAGCATTTCCCGAAAAAATGAGTTTTCGGATATTAATTATTGTGAGGATGGTCATGTGGATCGTATGTAGAAAAAATAACATCCGCAACGGAATTCTGATACTGTTATTCCTAAGATTAATAGAAAAACGTTCTATACTAGATTACCTCCTTAAAAAGTGCTTTAATTAGATATTCAGCTGACGGATGTCTGTGTACATTACCTTTTTCTAAGGTAATGTCAAAATGAAGTTGAATATTTACCCTTTTAATCCGAACGTGCATGTGTGCATTTTCAGGAATCCTCTTAACCTAGTCGCACTTGTTTAAACAGAGGCCAAGATTATCTGCCTATGTTGTGAGTTGGAATCTCCCTGTTCCACTCATTACCAGACTATTTAAAAGGCTGCAAACTTTGAACATCATAGACAACACAACTGAAACTGCAAGTGATGCTGTATAAGTTGGTTAGGTAACTGTAGCGAACTTTCCTTGAAAATAATTTCATAACGATGACTTATATAGCTGATCTAACGGGACGTGGGAACAGCAGCCGCCCGCCATGCAGGTGGCTTTGAGATAAATTTAAGGGAAACTAGGGTCAGACTCAAGGTTATTGTTTGGGTCAAATAAAGGGTCGGAATTAAGGTAAAAGTGGGGATTACGGTTAGTGTTAACATTAGGATTACGGTTAAAGTTTGCGTTAGGAATATTGTTAGGACAGCCCTTTAAACGGACCACATGGTAGATACGCTGGACCGATACGGAGGCCAGATCAAGATATGGCAGGCGGTATTCGGGTTATGTTCCCATAATAAATGCCAAAGTTAGGGGGG